GGGCTGGGGTACACCCTGGATGGGATGCCAGTCTATCACAGGGCACAGGGCTGGGGTACACCCTGGATGGGATGCCAGTCTATCACAGGGCACAGACATTCACTATGGGCAATTTATACACCAATTGTATAGGTGCTGATCTGTAGGTTGAGGGAATAAAAAAACAGAGCATGCAGAAAAAAGCCACGACAGAGAGAGAACACGAAACTCCACACACACAGAACGGAGGTGCGACCCAAACCCGCAGCCCTGAAGGTGTGAAACAGTCCCGCCCCACAGTATTATTGTCGTAAAAACTTCCTAGGTAGTTTGCCTGCACAGCAGTGAAGCTGTTTACTGTCACCGCTGAAGCGCGGCCCGCGGGTGTGCGGCTCATAAAGGCTTCGCGTCTCCTTAACACAGATCAGGCAACACTAGGTTCACGATCCTCTGATGGCGACGTCCGAAATGCGAGCGTGAGCAGTGACGCTGACATTAAGCAGGACACCCCCGCTCACGCCACAGGCAGACGTGGAGGTGGAGGGACACACGGGGATAGATTTAAGAGATTCAGCTTCTTCATACTTCGCTCGTACTGCCGCTCCGTGCTTCTCTTCCCAGCTTGATCATTACCAACGAAAAGACTCGCTTATAATGGAGTTCCGGTTTACCCACTGATGTCCTGTAAGCCGCCATGACGAACCCATTCTCCGCGCAGTGCTGCCCGGGGCAGACCGGCTGGACTGTGACTCTAACTCTGGCCGTCCACACAGACCCGATAAAAGGGACGCGACAGAAGCCGGACGGCACATGACTTTATCACAGGAAAGCTGAAACCTAAAGGCCTCATAAATGGAAGCCAAATCAAACCCAGATACACACGCCGGATCCCGCGACGCCTCTTCCGCCTAGCTAACCCTATTTAAATCCCAGCAAGTAAAGTGTGGGTCAGCTGGCTTCCATTACCTCATGCATGCACAGCCACAGGTCTGGTGTTCCATTGCCATGGCAACACAACAGCTAATCTCAACCCAGCCCTGCCTCACCACTCTAACTCCTATTGGTTTACGCCACTTTTTTTTTTTTTGTTTAATTCCCCCATTCCTGTTCCTTCAGACAAGCAGCCTAAATGGAAAAATGAGCAGGAGCTGGCATGTTGTGAGCCTTCACCATGACAGCTGCAGACTCCCCCGATCGGATTCTCCTGCAAGCATGCGGAGGCCCCTGCAGCCCATTTTTCAGCAACTATAAAAACGGCGGGATTGTCGCCGTCCCAGGAGCACTTTGAAACGCCACACAGAGACAGCAGCCCCCCCCGCCCCCACGCCGCCTGTCTGTCACACCCCCACACCGACGCTCGGGCTTCATTTTGGTCTCTAACCGGGACTTGGAACCGCCCATCTCATCCTCGGAGGATAAAAGGGGCTTCCGAATAACACACCGCCAGATCCACACAGCGACAGGCAGGACTGTCCCTTTCAAAGGAGTGGTGAGCACCTATAGATACCAGGAGTAACCTGTCACTCAGGGTCGTACCAACTTCTCAGGTGGCGGGGGGGATGGCACATCACAACATGTACAAGCCTCCAGCCAATCACATAGGGAGTTTGCGCTTCATTCTCAGCCTCCAGCAGCATTTGACAACACCGATTTAACGCTTCACAAGCATTACATCACCTCACACCTCCACCAAAGAAAATAATTTAAAAAAAGCTTTTTCTTAGCTGCTTGTCGTCTCTGGACTGCTGAGAATGGGAGAATGACTGTAAAACAAAATTCCTATCAGCACGAAATCAATAATAAAAAAAAACACACACAGAGTAATATTTACCTTCACACCGTGCCTGGTATGCAAAACCCCGCGACAGCGAGTCATCCTCAATTATTAAAACGCAGCGGTGATTCACTGTGGCTTGTTGGGTGCAGTGTGTGGGGTCTCAGTCAAATTACTTTATTTAGCACAAAAGGCCATTTCTGATCATCGGGAAGGCAGTGAAATGCGTGGAGGAACGCAAACGTGCCAATCGAGAGTCTTCCTTCAAAATTCAAAAAAGCATGAATTTAATGTGGGGGGGGGGGGGGTGATGCTGATGCTGAGGAGGAGAAGGGCTTCAGGAATGCTAGGTGACACAAAGGTATGACGCCCCTGACCCCTGCGCGTGAAGCTAGACTGGGGAAAGATTATCATCGATCATGGCGCTTCAGGTCAGAATATTGGCATGTGAGCCAAGCAACAGTCCTCAGCTCCAACATCTTCTCAAGGCTCTCAAAATGCCTGGAAATACAAATCCTCTGAAATTTGTTTTGGCAAGTCCTTCGGTGATTGGGTCAAGCCCGGCCTCTGCATGTCACTAACGCTGTACTCCAGGGGACTTTGAGAGCCAGAGTCCAGCCATGCACCATAACTGCAACGATGCACCTGTGCGCGTCTGCATGCCGCACAGTTGCATTCCCATCCCCTTCAACTGGCAGGGGATATTGCGATGAGCGTGTCCAACCAATCAGGAAGCAGAATGCAACGTCAGATACACCCACCTTACACAGCCTGGTCGTTTGCCAGACACTAAAACGCCACCAAGATGGCTACCTCTCAATCTCTTACAAAGTCACAGTTAAGTAAAACACGAGCTGGTTTCAATACAGCAGCTGATAGTCCACAAGCACTCATGCACAGTGGCAAGTCTGCCATCTAGTGCTTGCAAAGCGTACTACAACATACAGGAATGGGTGGGAGGGGGGTAAACACAGGCTTCGCAAAATGATGAGCGAATCTTCATCTGAAACAGATGGTGATCATTTTGTGAAAGTCTGAAGGGCACTGGGGGGGGGGGGCAAGGGTGCTGCGACGCACAGAGGGGGCAGGCCGCTGCGTTTGGCAATCGTGGGTGTTACCTGCAAGAGCACATCGCTTTGTGAGTACAGGGTGGAGTAGGCGGAGGTCGGGATCTCCTCCACTCCTAACGCGGAAGGCCCGTCGAAGATGCACTCCAAGGACTCTACCTACAGAGGGGCACGTAACTGTACCAGTCACAGCAAAGCCAGGAGGTACAGAGAAGGGGGGGGTGAGAGAGAGAGAGACTCACGCAAACAAGCAGACGAAGGATTGAGGGGGGGGTGATCAAGGCAGAGACACACAAGCGTGCACAAGTGCGCCGAGGAAGTGAGCGGCGAGCCCAACACACCCGCCAAAGCCATTCTGCGTTATGGTGTTTACGAACTCACAGATACACCACTGGGGGGGCTCGTCGGGACCAGACGGCGCCACCGCGGACCGGAGGCATGACATCATCGACATGACACCAATGAAGGACGTATGATCCGACAGCAGCCGTTTTGCAGTGACGGAGGTAGGAGCGACGAATCGAGAGGGACGGTCGCAATAGAGAAAGTGGGACCATATATCCACAGGCATCGGGGGGATGGGAGGGGGCTGCTGGGCATGAGTGACACTGGGGACACCTGAAAGCAGGAGGCAGGCACTGCAGCACACACTCGGGGAAAGAATTTAGTGCCTTACGAGGAAAAAGTGATCAACAGACTGCATGGGTCACTGCGGTATGGGCAGAAGAACAGAGACGGGTCACAGTCACTGCAAGCACTACGAGACCTTAACATCTTGCGATGATCACACGATCACCTTATCACACGGCTCACCCTGGCATGAGCACTGGATCACTGTCACTGCAGGCACTACAAGACTTTAGCATCTTGCAATGATCACACAGCTCACTGTAGCACGAGCGCTGGTTCACTGTCACTACAGGCACTATGAGACCTTAGCATCTTGCGATGATCACAAGATCGCCTAATCACATGTCTCACCACAGCATGAGCACTGGGTCACATTCACTGCAAGCTCTATGAGACTGTAGCATCTTGCGATGATCACCTGACCACATGGCTCACCGCGGTATGAGTGCTGGGTCACAGTCACTGCAGGCACGAGACCTTAGCATCTCCTGATGATCACCTGATCACACGGCTCACCACAGCACGAGCGCTAGGTCACTGTCACTGCAGGTGGTACGAGACCTTAGCATCACACAATGATCACACGATCACCTGACCACATGGTTCACCATGGCACGAATGCTGGGTCACTGTCACTGCAGGCACCATGAGACCTTAGCGACTCCTTAGAATCTCGCAATGATCACATGATCACCTGATCACATGGCTCACCACAGCACGAGCGCTGGGTCACTGTCACTGGAAACTATGAGACCGTAGCAACTCTTTAGAATCTTGCGATGATCACATGGCTCAGTGCTGCACGAGGGCCGAAACAGCAACGGGTCACTGCAGAAGCTACGAGACCTAAACGGCTTATGATGCTGTCTGACGCTCTGGTCGTACAAAATCAGCCATTTAAATGCATGTACAAAAGGACTGGTGGGCCCAGAATTAGATCGGCGCTGGTACTAGGTTGGGTGACCAGTTAAGGTCACACGTTAAGGTCAGTCTCCAGGTCTTTGCCATCAACACATGCTGTTATACATTATGGTACAAATACAGACATCTGCTATATTTATTTAAACTTACATGCCTTAAATTAATCTATGTTAGAAGAACCGATTCTGAATCCTGAGATTCAAATGATCCACCCCTCAAGGATTAATTACCATAATCCACTCTGTTCATACGAATCATTACAACACAAGATCATGATTCAGGAGCTCAATCAATCACACCACCATATGTGCACAGCCTCAGATGGGTTAAAGGGTTAAAACCACTAATTTCTCTAGTCTACAGAGCAATTTGAATGCAACAGAAACCTGCAATGACAAAATGCAGCCACTGGGTGGCGATAAACATTTAATGATGCGCAAGGATAATTTTGCTGGCCCTTTATTACTGAATGAAAAGTACTTAAATTAGTTGGGATTTCTCTCTAATTTAATTTTGAGAAATCCCAAACAATATTCTGCTCACATTCATCTATTGATTCCATGTACAGGCACCTCAATGAACAATGGAAGGATGCCAAACAGTTTTGGTAGCCTGACAGCTGCAATAAGAGTCTAGCTTGTATTGATTACATGCAGAGCACAATGGCGCAGATGAATGTTAATTAGGCTGGGAATCAGGTCCGACGGCAGCAGAGACCTGTCCGGGATGGGGAACGAGCGTTTGGGCTGGACGTGGCCAAAAGCCGGTCACAAACTAGGTGACATCAGGCACTAGAGACGTCGATTACGGTTAACGACTGGCCCCAGAGTTCGTTGCGTCTTGAGGGGCAGATATGATTCTCCCTGCTGAGGGCTTTGCGGGGATGAGAGTCACACAGGGTAGGTGACAGGAGAACGACTCTGCAGGCGAATCTGGGGAGTAGACCATCGTGCCCCAAGCTCTGCTCTGACCTAAAAACAAAAAGGGCCGCTTCTCTTCACAGCACTGAGAACTACAGCTCCAGGTCACACGCACTGCTCCATCATGACAGCAGCCTCAGATTCGGCTGAACTGCGAGGGGCCGCTCTACCTGCCTCGGGAACTCAACTGACACAGAGGGGGAATGGGTCAAAGGAAGCCTGCGACGGAGGGCGAGGCCGACGCGCTAGCAGGAAGGACTGAGGCTAACGCTAGCAGGAAGGACTGAGGCTAACGCTAGCAGGAAGGACTGAGGCTAACGCTAGCAGGAAGGACTGAGGCTCAGGCAGCACGCCCGGGGCTCCCCCGCGCTGGGGCTGAACACCGGCAAGGAAGCCGCTTGGATCGAATGGCTGGTAATGAGTCTGGACTTCATTTTCCAAGCCCAGCCAGATAGGCGACGTTATTAAGCTAACTGGGCAGGAACAGAAACTAGCAGTTATGTCTGGCTGAAGATGATGCAAGTTTTCTCCAGTTTAATGGTGACCTACTTCAGGCAGAGACGCGGAATAATTAGCATCGCCTCCTTTGAATCCGTACGGCCTCGTGGTACACAAAGTCACCCGGAAAGCATCTGAACTGACTGTCCCTGTCCCCTAATGGATCCTGGTGAAGGTAGGGAGGGGAAGAGGCAAACACTTTTGGCAACGGGCAGGTTGTCCTTTTTCTCTCAGCATGCTACCCAGGCCAGCAATGCGCTGCAGGGAATTCCCATCACGTGTGTGTGTGTGTGTGTGTGTCTGTGTGTGTGTTTACTTGTGCACACACACACGCTGGTCCTTTGCAATGCGATGCGATGGAGTAAGCAATGGCATGCACACAGCCAGGGGGGGTGGGGGGTTGGGGGGATGGTCCTTACCTTCATGGGGGAGATGTGCGAGTGGGAGACGAAGCCGTGTACATTCTCGATCTGGGAGATGTTCTTCTCAGATACCTGCACCAGTTCAGGGCCCTGGGGCTCGCCAGGGGGCGTCGGGGAGCTCTGTTCCGGGGGTGGCGTGTCTTCATCCTGGTGCCTGTATTTCTGTAGGACAGAAGCAGGATGTCAGGCTAGGGCTGGGGAGGGTGACACTGGGCGGGGGGGGGGAGGGGGGGGGGAGGCGGTGACACCGTTTCCTCCCCTCCTCCCAGACAGACGGCGAGGGAGCGTGGGGTAACATCATCCTTACCCGATTAAGTGCCTTACACCAACACTGCGGTTTATAACTCCTGTGCGGATGCAGAACGCAGACAGACCTGCTACCTTCCTCATCCCTCACATCTATCACTCGCCCACAGAGTGCTGATTCACCTGACTGATTTCCATCTTACATGCTTCTCCTCTAACTGCAGGCCTGAATCACAGGTTTTCTGTCTCCATGTGGGTCAAAGAGCCATGTCCCCTCTCTCTCAAGCCCCGCGGTGAGGACCCCACGCTGAATCACCGCACTCTGGGCGCGCCGGACGTACGTCACCTGGTCCCCACCAACGCCTCCGTCACGCTGTCCTTAAGGCAGCGATGAATCAGACTCTGTCCTTGCTCAGGAAGAAAAACACCGGCTCAGGAAATGTGGGGCTGAAGCAGCTACGCTCGCAAAGCCCTGCCTGCGCTACGCCAGGCGTCCCGCCCACGCCCTCCGCCAGGCGTCACTCTGCTCCCATAGATGGACGGATCAGCGAGGGGATTTTCTCCCCAAGGTTCCACCCCTGAGTCCTACAGACAACCCGCCCAAACCCCAGCTCAGGGTCGAGGACCACCATGGTATAGAGGAAGAGCGCCGATGTATCGACCCATAATCACACAAAGAGCATCTGCAGTGGAAACGGGGGCCAAAGCCACCACAGCCTCCTGAGGGCTATAGTGACAGTACGGCACGTCATCTGAGACCTACAGAGGAGGAGTGGCAGCGAGTGACAAGTGACGAGTGACGAGCGCCGTACAGGGGAGCGTCCTCACCGATGAGATCAGTGCCAGCCGTAAATGTTCAGACGGACACGGGGCTTGTGTGCGATGAGGAAGCAACTCACTAACACGTGCCCATGGCTACCAGTGGATGCCTTTTCAACCCCGTCCTCACGGACCCCCAGCCGGTCCACATTTTTGCTTCCTCCCAGCCGCCAGTCAATCAAAAACAGGTCCGCTGGAAGCTGGGAGGGAGCAAAACCACGGTCCGGCAGGGGGTCCCCCGAGGGCCGGGTCGAGAAACACTGCCCTAGATCACCAGGCTACTGGGATCCCGCGTATCTGCTTTAGCCCTGGATCCCGCTGTGAATTATTCAGTTGTGAACCTTTCGTCGAAATGTGCATCCTTTCTAAACGCTCATGATGAATGAGCAATTAGCTGTGAGGCGAATAGATAAATCACATATACATGCGTTGTTTTCATGTCGGCATGTGTAACTATTGACATTACCACGCTGCTTAACTTCCAGGAACATTCAATGTTTGCTTTTGATATTTTTATCTCTCTAATGCTTTAAAGAAGAGCTGCACCCACGTAAGACCTAAACAGCACCGTTTAGCCATCCAGCAGGTGAGAACCACAAGTGTTTGCCAGCGTATCGCCACCATCCTCCTGCAGGCAGGCGACCGCGGGCATGACGGAGACAAACGAGCCCAGCACTGCCCCTCTTTCCGCGGACGATGCTTAACCGCCAGTGGGACATTAAAACGGCAGCCGCGACCTCCATCGAGACCCCACACGTGCAAAAAGTACAGCCTACTTTTTGATTGCCAAAGATCCTCATTAAAATTCAATTAATTACTAAGCCTTTTAACATGTGGTGCAAGCCGGCCAATGTGTCCCCCATGGCAGGCAGGAGCAGACCTCAAACTCGCTTCTTCTGAATACTTTTCAATGTCTTTGTTAGGACGAAACAAACGTGGTGGGACAAAAATATTAGTAATGAATCTCTTCGGAACTGAAATGTGAGGCACATGTGAGGCAGATTTTAGCACGACAATCCACCAGGGCCTTACTCAGGAAGGTGATGTCTCCATCTCTGTCATATCTACCCAGCAGGACCTAGTAGACTTATAACCTTCATGGTGTTAGGACGGTGATCAGCATGGGACCGAATTCCGGCCAAGAGAAGCCAGCAGTCGGTGAGATTACAGTGCGCTGCTGGGCTCAGCGCGGTTTAACCGATGGGAAATAATAGAGCGGTTGTGTGTCTTGACCCCACACATAAGCGGGTTCTGGAACCTTGGTTCTCACAGACACCACACTCTGTTTCACACCGCAATCATCTCCAAGAATGGGTCTAGTGGGAAGAAGGGAAGTGAAAAGCCCAATCGGTCGATCCCGGCACAGCAGGGTATGTCGCCTGCTGCTGACCTACGGACCCGTATAATCCTCTAATAATACTGGCCAGGGAGCGATGTCGCCTTTCTGTAGCCCTGGCGGTGCCTCAGAAACCCTTCCATTTTTATAACTTACATCAGATTCCAGCAAAGCATTCCCAACCAGCTGGGGCCAGCTGTACGTGGTTTACACAGGGAAGTGCTCACAGTGCATAATTTTAAGACTGTGAAAAGTACTTGGGGTTCTGCACACAGTAATTCGATACAGACGTTCATCTCTCTCAAGCTAGCGATGTTCTCGCTCCGGCACCGGGGGGCGACAGAGGGAGGGGCCCGGCAGTCCGCGGGGATTATCCTCCGCCACAGACCAGTAGCTCCCGTCTGTCCTGCTCTCTGCAGCTTAACCGCCCAAATGCTTCACTTACATAACACTGAGGGGGGGTGTCCATTGATGTCTACCTTAATGACCTGTATCACATGATCTATGTAGGCTTGTCTGTGACCCGTTTATAGTCCAATTAATGGTGCTTTTTCGCAGGACCCTCACAACCGCTGCATCCGCACTGGGGCTCAGTCCGTCCCTCAGCATCACTGCAGTACATTTTGTCCCTCCGCCTTCACCCGGGGGGGGGACAGTCTGTTCCTCCATCCCGGTCACCCGGGCCTACCTGATACTGATCTTAAACTTTCCTAAAATATGACGGGGCGAACGTCAGTGTCAGCATTCTCCATCACTCACGTGATGCACTTTAAGTACGTCCCAGTTTGAATCACTGCTCACGTGTGTGTGAAATTCTCTCCACAAAGACCAACCCAGCTGGAGGGGGGGAAATGGAGGCCATGTCCAGTGAGATATGTTTTGGGTGGGGGTGGGGGTTTCTAACAACCCTTAGAGGAAAGCAAGGGATCAGGCTCGTCAATAGTGGGAAGCCTGCATGACGGCCGAACTTACTGACAGCCATGACCTTGAGTGACCTTAGGCCTGACCTCACAGAGTGGCACTACAAGGCCAAGGTACTGGAACCTGAAGGGTCAAGCTTGATGAGTCAGGCTGATAAGAACACAAGCATTTTATACTGAGCAAGAGCAGAAATAAGCAACTCATTCATAATGCTTTTCATTATAAATACATTTCAGGAATACACCCTTAAAACAGAATCTAAAATTCTCAAAATCTCAGATGCAAAATGAACATGTTCGGTATTAGACCAAAAATAAAACTTCAATTAACAACTTCTCTTCCTGAAAATGTCATAAATATTCTGGAGAATTAAATGCTGTGATCTGGGTCTCTCCCCCCCCCCCATTACAAACAATGTAAAGATTTATTATTTTAATAACCAGAAAACATATAGCAGGAAACAAATACCAAGACAAAGCAAGCCTGAAATGATGACTGTAATGTAATCATGATAAAATTCCATACAAGTCAATCCTCAAAAAAAGTGCCTGAAAAATAATTAGCTTGAGATATACAGTGTTGTCACGCCAATTTACATCCACAGGCACCAAGAGTTGACAAAACCTAGACTGTCGGAGGACATTTTTCCCCATAATCATCAAAAGTAAGTAACTGAGCTAATCCAAATGAGGAAGAATCAGGGTGTCACCACCTTTGAGAAATCTGCCGTGACCATTTCTGTCTGCACTTCTACACAGGAGTATCACAGTGTATTAACTATAGTAACATGGGGTTACCAGTCAGGCAGTTGTGACAGATACTCAACACATGTACTGTATGCATGTAAGTAAAGGTTTCAAACGACAGGATGAAAAATTCACAGCTGCGCATACTCGTCCGAAAAACCAATGGGCTATTTACAGGGGAAAACATAGAACATAGTGACAGGAACTACACCACCGAAACTGTGACAGAGAGCATAATAATGATCAATGACTGACATCAGCTGCGTCCCAATCAGGCCAAACAGAATGACCGCGATTCTCACGTTATGGGGGAATAATGGTTAGGGAAGCGCACTCGTAATCGAAATATTGCTGGTTCGAATCCCCGACCAGCGAGGCACCACTGAGGTACCCTGAGCAAGGTACCGCCCCCAAGCACTGCTCCCCGGATGCTGAATTAGCTGCCCCCTGCTGTGTCACATTGTCACATTTGGTTTAAATGCAGAGGACACATTTCGCTGTTGTGCACTATGTGCCATGGTGTGTCAACAATGACAATTAATCACTATCACTCACTCTTATGATACAGCACTGGCGATTAGCCTCACTTCGGACCCTAACCCCCCTGCCCTACCAAACATCTTCAGATGCTGTTTTCTGGCTACTGTGGGAAAGGGTGTCTTACACAGAATAGTCACAGCCACACGAGAGCAGTTTTCTTAACACCCGAAGATTCATTTTATTTCGTTTTGCCTTCATCATTTTCCAGCAAAAGTACTGCGACGCCTAAGGAAATCGCCTCTACACTGAGGCTTTATTAACAGCAGTTCTTGCATATCTTCAGCCGAAACCCTCTAATTAAAAAAAAAACAAAACAAAAAAAAAAAAAAATAAACATTTTATGGGGAATAAGAATCCACCACCTGATAATTACATAAATACAACAACACTCATCACAGCAGCGTTAAGCGATACAAGTGAAGTTTTCACAACGCTGAGGTGAGAACCTGCAGAGCGGAGAAGAGCCACATGTTCAGCAGAACAGGCCTCGCAGAAGTCTGAGGCAAGAGTGCTGGAGGCAGGCCTAGGCCTGAACCATTACTGTGGGGGGTGGG